AAGATGATAGTCATCCACAATATCTTGAGGGCAGTAAAGATTGTTAATTTAAGAGAATTATAATTTTTAGAAAATCTGTTAACTCTTGAGGGCCAGAACTGTTCTTGGGAATCTGGGTTTGGGTAGTGAGAGGAACAGGGACAGAAGGGACACAAATTATGCCGGCTCTGATGGCCCTGAATTGATGGAGGCCAACTCTAGGAAAGAGGTTTATTTCTAAGTGCTTAGGAATCAGAAGGTCTCTAATTTGTGTGCTCTAATCAGCTCTGATTTTATTAAGCCTGGATCTCTACTACTCACAGAGTGGGGCAGGTACTAAGGTCTAAAAGGAAGGGGTTACTATCCCTTTTGTTCACAAAGGTAAAACAGAACCTAGTAGGAAATCTCTGAAGAAGCACCTGACTCGGTTCCTCCTATGACAACTTCACCTTGCCAGTGCTTCTTGGGTCATCAAAGACTTGAACTTCCTGCCATTCACACAGCTTACCCTTGCCTGCAGAAGAATATAATTAGTATCTTTTCTTCAAAGGCCCATTGGCTCACCATGAAACACACTTCACTTCTGTGACCTTTCTCAGTGCCTAGCTTTAAATGCTAAAGGAAGGGGGACTTGAGCTGCATTTTTGTTTGAGTAAATTTATTTTAGCTGATTTTTCCTCTCTCTGATATGTTTTCTTCAGAGCATTAGCAGAGGTCATGAAAAGAGGCAAGGCATTCAAAGACTATTCCTACTATATCAAAAGAGGAGAGTAAAAGCTGGGAAATACACAGGGAAAAATCAAAAGTGAAAAGGCGGGACAGCTAAAGAACGAGAGCTTCCAGAAATCATAAAAAGCAAAATGTTATGCCAAGATACACAAAAAATTGTCAGTTATTATAAACATTTATCTTTAATTAATGAGAAATCCTAAAGGAAAAACAGTGAAATAATAGAATCTTTAGAGATGAAGTTTGTCTTCATGTCCTGTTTGCAGTACTAAACTTGCCTTCCAGAAATGGACGGGCTGTTAGTGAACGTTTGAAAGGACACCTCTACCTCCCCTTTCTGCCTTACCAATAAGGTGCTGAGAGAGAGAAGATAGCTCTAGCTCTTCTCTACAGTGCAGAGAAGATCGGCTGAGCTCTACTCTCAAATCTAAAAAAAAAATCAATATAGTAAACAATAGGATTAGGAAGTTAAAATGCCACCTTTATTCCAAGAATTTCTATCCTCCATTTATCAGCTGGGTTGAAGACCATTCTGATGCCCCATACATAGCAGAGGGTCACTCTTCCACACAGTACCGGTGCCTTAGTTCCAAAGTGCTCTATATTGCCAACTTGCAAGACCTGCACTATAGGTTAAACTCATGCAAATAATCAGCAAACCCTGTGAACTTTTACTGATTATTTATTGAGTTATAGCATTGGACCCAATCCTCAATTGAGTATTATAGGGGATACCAAAGATGCAAGTGTACTGTCTTACATTCTAAGAAAGGAGAAATAACTATACATAGAAGATTAGCAAAACACAGTAAACACAGACCACACCAAGTGAGAGATACTTATAAGTAAAGGAGGGCAGAGATTGCTATGAGTTCAAAGACTCAAAAGAAAACTACTCTTTTTTGAAGGCAGAGAAGTAAGGAATGGTGCATAGATTTTCCTGTGTCATGGCCATGTTTTAGAATATTGCTCAGGCGACATTGTTAAGGGTAGATTTGAGTAGAAAAGACAAGGAAACTACTGCTTTATCAACAATGATGCAGACCAATGCAGTGGCAGTGAAGATGGAGAAAAATAGGTACAGTTGATGCATATAAAGTAGATCTCTGGTCAGAACTCAGTGATTCATTGGAAGAGAGCATGGCCATAGGAGAAAGACTTCAGAATGACACCCAAGATGTTTGCCACAGAAAATCGCTTTTATGGTTTTTCCATTCACTGAAATGAGAAATGAATATAATGGGAAGGATTTCTGTGCTAAGTGTTATGTGAAATATGCAAAGAGCCTAAGGTATCATCCCTGCCTGAATTCCACTTCCATTTTCTTTCTCGCCTTCATTTCAAAGGTCTTGACTAGGTGCACTTCGTAAACTTACTTAAATATTTTAGTGGCATAACTTGTCACATTACCTTTACTTCAGTACTTCTGCAAGGTTTATGAAAGTTAATTTAAAAATAAGTGTGAATAACCAAAAGCAAAGACACTTCAGTGCTTATTTTCTAGTCATCTGTCTAGTTTCCCATGTCTTCCCTCTTCCAATTTTTATAATTAAAAAGGTACAAAGAAACCAGGACAGATGTTTCAAATGTCTTCAAAAACAATGAAATTTGCAAAACTACTTTGGACCTCCTGAATATAGTCCCATCTTTGCTTGTTTCAGGGATGTTTCAGACAAAGGTAGTAATGAGACAGTGGGGGCGGGGACTAAGGCTTTGAATTGTATCTTTGTTTAATTTTTATCCAGAAATATTACCAATTTTCTGAAAATCCAAGCTCCCAGCTAGAAATCCCTTAGGCTCTCTGATTCAGGCCTAAGACTGTGAGATGTGGGCACATTTATAGGGCTGGATTAAGCAGATCATTTCCAGCCTCATTTGACCTGGACAAGAAGCGAGCTTGCCCCAAATTACAGGTTCTCCTAGGAAAAGGCTTCACCACCCTTGTCTATTCTACTTAGTTTCTGGAATTGATGAAGCAATGAATATTTTGTGCAGGAACAAATGGAGAGAAAGGGGAATTTGCACATGTCAACATCACATTGGCAGCAAAATGCCACCCCTTGTACACATCTAGAGGGCCTGCAGCATAAACTCATACTTGCCAAGATAGGATCAAAGCAGAGAAGCAGGGCCAGGTATAATGTCCCAATCAAAGTATTTCAAGTCAGTAATAACAGACACCAGGCCCAGATAAGTCACTCAGAGTCTTGTCTCTCAGAGTGTCTCACTGTAGCATTCTCCCAAAGACAGTTGGTCGGGTCTGCGGTGCCTTCTTTTTCCTTCCCGTCCCCTACACTGGGATGAAGTAACTTGGGTTCCATTCCCAAGCAGTTCTGGAGCTCAGAGACACTCCACTTGGCAGGGCCCACAAAGATCATACACAGATGCCTGTAGTAATCTCAGGCTGAAGTCTGTCTTTTAGAGTCCTTGGACCTTGGATCTTAGCCAAGAGATTGACTTTGCCGGGTTATTGGTAGATTTCTCCTTCCTGGGTCAGAATGAAGTCCACAGGGAGAATTTTTTGTAAAACTAGAGCCACCCTAAAAACAAGTTGGTAACGGCAGCCAGAACAGAGGCAGCAGCAAGCCAGAGTTGAATTCCATTTAAATAAAATGCCAAAAGGCAGTCAGTGAAAGTGACATTTATGGTGTTACTACAAATGCATTCAGTGGGAAAGCTCAGCAGCAGAAGCAAGGGGGAAAAAAAAAACAAGCTGTAGTGAAAACTGCCATCTGTATATTGTGCCCCGTTTTTAATATTCTGTATTCTCATAAAAAGTGTTGTTTCTGTCACTATTCAATCTCACAAACTCACACAGAACACTGTTAAAAGTCAGCAGTGTGTGAAATGGTATTTTAAAATAAATGAAACCCGCTCGCAGAGCTGCGGAGGAATATTGCAATGCTGGGCGCTGACAGACAGGCACTGAAAAGTAACAACCGTTATCATCTTAAAGCAAAGCGGATTAAATAAAAGCCCACAGCCAGTGGTGCATTACCAAGTCTGATATTGACACAGCTGCTGTGGTGGTTATTTTTCATTGTCTCATCAAGACAAAGCATCATGGGATATCAATCTTCCCTCTGTCAGGCCATGCCTGGTATAAAGTTTTTCGTTTACATTTTCATTATATCCCTTTTATCTCCAGTGCCAGTATTTTTTCTTAACTGTGGGGTCCAGTGACCTGTGGGGCAGTGTTGAGCTATTACCTTCTGGCCAGAGGAGCTCCCTCAGGGGGCAAAGGAGAGTTTGTCCTTCTTACCTATCATCTTTAAGCTTTCTTCAAATGGCAATAGATGTTCATTATTCTCTTGTGTTGGGGGTGAAGGTGATTAGGAACTGGTTTGCATGTGTGTATGTCTGTGTGAAGCAAATAAAAGCAAGAGAGAAGCAGATAATGACTATGAGAATTAGAAGGTCATTTGATGGTATTTTCTTTCTCTTTTCACTGGAAAGAATAGAGAGTTAGAAAATGCCAATTCCCTTGAGACTGCTACAGCTGTGACACTAGATTCGTGCTCAACTTTTATACACCATTGTTTTATTTCCTAGACTGGGTCACTCTTCTCAGATTGACCTTCCACTCAGAAATTGGCCAAGCTGTGGAAAACATTTTTTAATTTGACCCAAAAAGCAACATCTATGAGAAAGATCAATTTTCTTTTGGGAAACTGAGTGAAGTTTGATCTATCTAGACCTCTGTCCCTTCCTCTTCATTACCCTGCTCACCAAGTTTATTAGTGCAATTTTGTTGGGAGAGAAAATTTGATTTGAGACATTTTCCAGTACTGGGCCCTGTACTTTGTAAGTCTCTGGCCCCAATAACAAGGGAAATGGGACCTTTAGCAAAGGTTAGAAATGTGACTTTATAAGGCCAATATACAACAGAGAGGATTAGGCTCACAGTCCCAGAGGAAGTTCGGAGTTTTTAAGCATCATGCACAGGAGGCTCACAGGAGAGCTGGAGGTGCAGGTGAGGTGAGAATGGACTGAAGGTTTTGTAAGATAAGCTGCAGAAAAGACTGCTCCTTCTAGGCCTCTTCCATGCCAGCAGAGTGAGTTGGGTCACAGGGGCTGCCTAAATAATGGTAATACTCACTAGCTGTTGAACAAGGAGCTTCAACACTTACCATCTCAGAGGCTTGAGTAGGAGTTGATGCTGTCCTGCATCTTCTGAAATACCTGACCTCCAAGGTCAGTGCTGAAAGGAAAGTCTCTGATTGTGACACAGGAAGTGCGTAGAGAATTCTCTTGAAGAGAATTCTGTCACTATTGCCAACTTTCCATGAGCCTCTCCCTGCATGAGAAGAGACTGGGATGTTGTAGGAGGCACCCTATGTCCTCTGGAAAGAGTTGCTACGGGCATGGGGATTTTTGTTTGTTGGCTATTTGAGCACGGAGGTGGAACAAGAAAGGTAAGGGTAAGAAAGAAGGGACAGTGTGGAGTAAGTGAGAAAGCAAGGAAGATAGAGGGCTGCAGTAAGGGACAGCTTCTCCCTTGTCCCACTTAGCTACCTCATCAAACTCAGTCCCTTTTCCTTCAGAAGAAAGAAGAGCCCACCACTCCTGCAACTGGCTCCATTTGGCAGTAGAGCATCCATAGAAACGCTATTCGAACTGTGTTCTGGTTATCCATGGCCAGGTAGTCACTACTCCCAAAAGTGGAGCTTAAAGCAGTAATAACCATTACCTTTGTCAGTGGATCTGGAGTGTGAAAGGGCTCAATGAGGGAGCTCTTGCTCACAGTCTCTCAGGAGGTAGCAGTGGGACAGTGGCTGTGGCCAGTTTAAATCGTTCTTTTTCTCACAGGCCAAATTTTATTGACACACTCATCAGTAGAAGGACAATTGACGTGTTTCCACATTTCACCCTGACAAACACTGCTGCTGTGAACACTCATGTAAAGATTTTGTATGGATGTACATTTTCACTTCTATGGCATCATGCCCAAGAGAGGGAATTACTGAATAATATGCCAACTTTACCTTTAATATTTGGAGGAACTGCCAAATTGTTTTCCAAAGCAGCTGATTCACTTTACATTCCCATGGCAGTATATGATGGTTTAAATTTCACTATACTCTTTTTTATTAGCTGACCAGAACTTTTTATTAGCTATCTTTTCGATTATAGACATAGTGCTGCGGTGTCAAGTGGTATGTAATTGTGATTTTGATTTGCATTTCTGTAGTGGCCATTGATGCTCTGTGCTTGATTTCATGTCTATTGTCAATTTTTATATCTGTTTAGAGAAACGTCTGCACAGAGACTTTGCTTTTGGGTTCTTTCTTCTGTTTATTATTGAATTTAAGAGTTTCTTATATGCTTTCCGTACTGTTCACATATCTGGCATGTGAACTGGAAACACTCCAAATAGTTAGAACTAGAACAGCCAAGACTCCTTGGCCGCTCGCTGTATAACAAATTTTTCTATACTGTCTCTACATACTGGTCTCAGGGTGTCTGGTCTTTGTATGCGGCAGGCAAAAACTCTTAGAATTTCCTAAGTGATACCAGGAGTAGTGGTGTGTCTTTTCCAACGAAGTCTCAGGAATCAGGTGGTACTACTACTGTCATGTCTGAATTACTTTCTGCTTACTGAGACACGATGCCTGAAACCCACAGATTAAAAGAGGAAAGGTTTATTTTAGCTCAGGTATCATTCCACAGTCAGCAGGCAACAAGGGAGGATGGCATGTCCCAAGAACATGGCAGAGGAATAGTTGCTCATGGCATGGCAGACATGAAACAGAACAGAGAAAGAAGGGCCTAGGGAGGGAGATAAACCCTTCGAGGCCACACCCCCAGTGACTCACTTTTTCAACTAGACCCCACCTCCTAACTGCCAGTCAGCTATAAACTCCCACAATCCAAATACCTCCCCAAAGCTCCACCTATGAACTGATGAAGTTGTTGGAGGACATCTGGATAGAAACCATCACATGTCACATTCTGTCAATCAAGGAAGACATAAATAACCACCCTTTCCTCTGCTTTCCCCCAAATTCAAGTGGAGGAGACAGACTCCACTTATGGTTTTTTTTTTTTTGTTTTTGTTTTTTTTTGTTTTATTTTAAAGATAAAAGGAGGGAAACATTACAACCACCATTGTTAATTCTCTACCACTTTGTCTGTAACTCTGTATTGTCTGTATTGTGCTTGTGATATGTTGTATGTCTGTTAATGTTTCCCTCCACTTATGGTTTAAAAGCCAAAATAAACTTGAGAAGCATTTAAACTACTCATATTGAAAAAAGACATTGTTCAGATTCTTTGTGCCTCCTAATTGTTAGACAAGAATTAAAAAGTCAGCCTCTCCTAGGAATAGGCATAACATGTTAGTTGTAAAATAGTAAAAATATATGTGGATTCTCTTCTCTCATTTATAATACCCATTTCATGTACTATTTTTACATTTGCAACCACAGAAACTCTTCCAGAACTGCTCTACCTGCAGCATTAGCTCATGCTCATTCATACACGCTGGTAACGCCTCTGATGGTTCAGAACAGATTGATTCAACTATGTTAGGGAGGGTTCATCTGAAGAACCACAAACTGAGGCAGGTCCTATAGTGCTTTCACTGCCTGCCCATGCCCATCCTTCTTCTCTGAGAGAACTTGGTTAGAGCAGAAATTTGGTAGCAGCAGAATGGCTAAGGAAATATTGAATGCCATCTGGCACTCAAGCCTCATTTGTGCATGGTCTTCAGATGTTCATTTGGTTATAACAAAATACCTGAGTCTGGTTATAACAAAAATACCTGAGTCTGGAAACTTTTTAAAGAAGAGAGGCTTCTTATGGCTCAGGATTTTTGAGGTGTGAAAGTGCAAGAGCAAATGTCAATATATTGACATTTGTCAAATGTCAATATATTCTTGGCTTCAGATTAGGACCTCACACTGTACACAACATGGCAAAGAAGTCGAGGGTGACATGAATGTGTGGAAATAGGAAGCATGAGTGTGAGAGAACCAGAAGGAGGTGAGAGGTATACTCTGTAACTATCCTCTCTGCGGTAACTAACTCAGTCCATGAGGCCTAACTCATTCCCAGGAATCTAATCCAGTCTTGAAAAAATTAACCTAGGCTCCCAAGAAAGATATCTGTCCAATCATGAGGATGCTGTCTCTGTGCTAATCACTGGTAAGCCCTCCCTATTCAAGATTCCACCACCTCTTGATACCATTACCTTGGAGACCAAGCTACCAGCACATGAACCTTTAGGGTACAAACCATTTCCAAACTACAGAAGCTCCCAAATACAGGATGAAATTTGGTACTTCATAGTATGTAGAACATATTCACAGTCTGTAGAATAAACATTGTTACATGAAGACTTGTACTTTATAAATGCATAGATGGCCTAGACACCATCTATGTTTCTGGCTTTCCTCTTGTTTATTCATTTTGACTTCTTTTGAAAGTTAACCTTCTGCCATGGTGTACTGATGTTGGCACTTTAGTTCTTTGGTCCTAAATTCCTGTGCATCTTTTGAAGCAGTGAACTTCTTATTGACTCTGAATTCCAGTGCCACCAGTTCTAGCCAGCACTCTTCACATTTTCCCAGTGCTCCCACCCCTCTACCACACCATGCAGTATATTAAAATTCCTGGTGTCTGTCACTCCACCATGTTATATCTCTTCACGGAGCAGTATCATTGCAGTTTAGATATCAATACTTAGAACAGTGACTGTCCCAAATGACAAGCTCCAAGACAAATTTGTTCCTATGGTCCAGGCATGCTACCTTAGTAACTTATGCTTCATCTCCCTCCAGGGTACTACTGAGTTCTCCTTAACAAGAAGATTGTTAATATCCTTAACAATTAGACTGCTTGGCTAATAATAGGTAAATATTATCTATTATCAACTCCAACTCTTTGAATCATATCTCTTCTTTTTTCATATCCTGAGTCTTACCTTATGGCTAGCATGTAAATTTTAGAATTCATAACTTTATTCATGTTATCCTACTTTAGTTTTTACCAATCTATGGCATCTGTAGTTTAGTAATTTCCTTTATTCAGCACAGACCCAAAGAAAAGCCTTCCCATTAGTTAGGTATCCTGATAATTTGAAATTCATAATTGAAATAATCTCCACCACTTCCTATGAGATATTTAGAACATAAAATATTTGCAGCATGAAACTTATTTTGAACATAATTCATCATACTTTGAACATTTAGAAGTTGTTTTGGAATCATATTATGAGACTGATGCATCTTTGTCTTCATCATGAATGTCAATTAGCATGGAGTCACTTTCATGAAAGAGTCTAAGACCCCAGCAGAAAATGTCCAGTTAAAAGGATGCTGAATAGTAGAGAGAACTAGGTACATATAAGTATCTTCCAAAATGAAGTGAAAAGAAAATAGTCAGAGTACTACCTCTGCTGAAGTCTACTCTGGCTTTAAATGTAAAATGCAAAGGTGATGCTCCTTTAACATATACAGTTTCCTTCCTAAAACTGTCAGTGGCTCACTTCCCTCTCCTTCCTCCTTGTCTGCAAGAAAAAAAAAAATATAAACATGGCCCAAAGTTAAAGAACCATTTAAACCTTGCTTTGCTTTTTCAGAAACCTCATGATATATTTGCTACTTTACATCCAGATTAAATGACAGCATCAGCCAGAAATCTAGAATGTTATCATTCTGTAGACATGTGAGATTTAGTAAACATTTGCCCATGGCATACTATAAAGATTTTTGGAGTTTAAAGTGAATGATTGTGTCTAATTCCTAGCAAATACTAGGATTCACTTTCCAGCTGGATATGAGCTTCCCACTCAATCTGCCAAAGCCCTACATCTGTATCCCTATGATTAGGGGCCAATAGGTCACACACTGAATTTATTTCTTATATCATCTCAATAATATTTGAAGGCTCCTAAGAATGAATTCTAATGTCATAAAGTTGATGATTCCTCTCACTAATTTAGAATTTAACATTTTCTGAGTTCTTGAAATTAAATAATAAAACAGTGATGAGAGAGATGGTAAGGTAGATGTTATTATCTCTGTAAAACAAATAAAGAAACCAAGCCATCAGAAAGTAAATTCTTTACCTAGAGCCTTCACAAAGGAGGAAGCTCATGTAGGAAATCTACTGCACTTGTGCTCCTCCCAGGTTAAAAGTTTGTATCTTCAGATTAAAAGTCATCATCTTCACTATGGTGTGTAAAAAACACAAGTCCTTGCCCTATATGCTCTCGAGTATAGTCTTTTCCTGAGTCTTTGCTGTTAGGTCGTTTTTAGGATGCACCGATCCATTACCTGGCATGCATTATCCGACTTGAAGATGCAGTTTATATCCCTTGTCAGAACTCTGTGCAGTGTTGGGAACATAGAGAAGTCTCAGGACATATGTGCTCAATGAGAACATCTATAATTACACTCAGGTCCAACATACC